CCCTATGGGTGCCATTAGTGCCAGTGGGTGACACCATGGGCGCATTGTGGGAACCTGTGGGTGTCCCTATGGGTGCCATTAGTGCCAGTGGGTGACCCCATGGGTGCCCCTATGGGTGCCATTAATGCCATTGGGCGCTCCTATGGGTGCCATTGGGGTGCCATTGGGATGTCATGGGGTGCCACTGGGTGCCCCCATAGGTGCCTATGGGTGCCCCTATGGGTGCCATTAGTGCCACCAGGTGACCCCTTGGGTGCCCCTATGGATGCCATTGGGTGACCCCATGGGTGCCACTGGGCACCCCTATAGGTGCCATTAATGCTATTGGGTGCCCTTATGGGTGCCACCGGGGTGTCACGGGTTGCCATTGAGTGGCAATGGGGTGTGAATGGTTGACTTTATGGGTGTTGTTATGTGTCACTGGGTGCCCCTATGGGTGCCATTGGGGTGTCATGGGATGTCACTGGGTGCCTATGGGTGCCACTGGGGTACCACGGGGTGCCCCTATGGGTGCCCCTACGTACCATTGGGTGCCCCTATGGCTGCTATTGGGGCCATTGGGTGACTCCATGGGTGCCACTGGGGTGTCATGGGCTGCCATTGGGTGCTACTGGGGTGTCATGGGCTGCCATTGGGTGCCCCTGTAGGTGCTATTGGGTGCCTCTGGGATGTCATGGGGTGCCACTGGGTGACCCTATGGGTGTTATGTGCCATTGGGTGCTCCTATGGGTGCCAACAGGTGACCCCATGGGTGCCCCTATAGGTGTCATTGTGTGCTACTGGGTGCCCCCATGGGTGACATTAGTGCCACAGGGTGCCCCTATGGGTGCCATTATGTACCATTGGGTGCCCCTACGGGTGCTATTGGGTGCCACTGGGTGACCCCATGGGTGCCACTGGGGTGTCATGGGCTGCCATTGGGTGCCCCTGTAGGTGCTATTGGGTGCCTCTGGGATGTCATGGGGTGCCACTGGGCAGCACTGGGGTGTCAATGGGTGATCCTATGGGTGTTGTTATGTGCCAGTGGGCGCTCCTATGGGTGCCATTGGGTGCCTACAGGTGACCCCATGGGTGCCCCTATAGGTGTCATTGTGTGCCACTGGGTGCCTCTATGGGTGCCACTGGGTGACCCCCATGGGTGATCCTATAGGTGCCATGTTGTGCCCCGGGTGCTGCTGTGGGTGCCATTAGCACCATTGGGTGGTGCCACTGGGTGACCCTATGGGTGCTGCTGTGTGCCCCTGGGTTGTGTGCCACTGGGTGCCCCCATGGGTGCTTCTATGGATGCCCCTATGGGTGACATTCGGTGGCATTGGGGTGTCAATGGGTGACCCTATGGGTGCTGTTATGAGCCATTGGGTGCCACTGGGGTGTAATGTGATTCCACTGGGTGCCTACAGGTGATCCCATGGGTGCCCCTACGGGTGTCATTGGGTGACCCTGTAGGTTCCCCTATGGATGCCCCAATGGGTGCCACTGGGTAACCCCATGGTGCCCCTATGGGCGCCGTTAGTGCTACTGGGTGTCCCTATGGGTGCCACTGGGTGACCGCCATGGGTGATCCTATAGGTGCCATGCTGTGCCTCCAGGTGCCACTGTGGGTGCTATTAGCACCACTGGGTGCTATGGGTGGTGCCACTGAGTGACCCTACGGGTGCTGCTGTGTGCCACTGGGTGCCCCCATGGGTGCTTCTACAGATGCCCCTATGGGTGCCATGAGTGCCACTGGATGCCCCTATGGGTGCCTCTGGGATGTCATGGGGTGCCACTGGGATGTCAATGGGCCGCCCTATAGGTGCTCCTATGGGTGCCATTGGGGTGTCATGGGGTGTCACTGGATGACCTTGTGGGTTCCCCTATGGATGCCCCTATGGGTGCCCCCATGGGCGCCTCTATGGGTGACATTCAGTGGCACTGGGGTGTCAATGGGTGACCCTATGGGTGCTGTTATGAGCCATTGGGTGCCCCTATGGGTGCCACTGGGTGCCTACAGGTGATCCCATGGGTGCCCCTATGGGTGTCATTGTGTGCCACTGGGTGCCCCCATGGGTGCCTCTATGGATGCCCCTATGGGTGCCACTGGGTGACCCTGTGGGTGCTGCTGCGTGCCACTGGGTGCCCCCCCGGGTGCCACCTACCTCCCCCCGCGATGGTGGCTTTGATGAGGGAATCCAACTCTTCGTCCCCACGGATCGCCAGCTGCAAATGGCGGGGGGTGATGCGCTTCACTTTGAGGTCCTTGGAGGCGTTGCCTGCCAGCTCCAGGACCTGCGGGGGAACGGCGGGGGGCTGCGCGTTGGGAACGCTCTGCTCAGCCCAGCTGCTGCCCCACAGCATCGCCCCATAGCGCTGCCCCATAGTGCTGTGTCACAGCATCGCCCCATAGCGCTGCCCCATAGCTCTGTGTCA